ATTGTGCAGTGGGGTAACCTCCAAGCACTTAACTGGGGAGCTAGGTTTGCTGGTCTATGGAACTAGAGCTGAGTGCTTTGGGCTGAGTGGAGTGCATTTTGGGCATTCACTGGCAGCCCTAAAATAGCTTTGTAACATTGTCTGAGCAGAGAGTATAGGTCAGACCGAGGGCCAGAGAGAGAGGCCTGCCAGTGGGCACGGAAGGGGAGAGGCTGTCCTGACTGGAAGAACTGTGCCCTGAGCATCATTGTCCCTGAATTGTAATGTGTTATTATTATCGTCCCTAATAACCATGAGTATGGTGTCTGAGTTCTGTGAGGTCACTGCAATGAATTCTTGACCTCAGCTAAGCAGAGTGCTGTGGGAGGGATGACTGGAGCCCTTTTATTTTTGTTACAGGGGCAATTACAAATAAAACCGCTATGAACATTCTAGTCCATCTCTTTGGGTTGTTACTTTGCTCAGGTAAATGCAAGGCACGAAACTGCTGGGTCTCAGGGCAGAGCAGCAGAGAGTGGATCAGCATGCATAGGTGTTACAGGGCTGGCTGTTTTCAGTGACATCTGAGCTGGCATTAGTGCACACTCAGGCAGTGCCCAGCACATACCACTCAGGAATTGGCTGGACTCAGGGGAGGCCAGTGGTCACAGATGAACCTCTCAGACTATACTCATAAGCAGCCTCCTAGCAAAACCCCCCTGACCCCCAAGGCTGTAAAAGCCCTCCCTGATGTCACCTTCACCTAGGTTCCTCACTACCCTCCAGGATAGGTAACTCAGGCCTATCTCCTTCACCCACCCTACACAAGGTTGGCCCCCTAGAGGCCTGAATCACCAAGTTCCCAGATGTCAGGTGGGGCTGGGTTAGGGTTAGGCACCCTTCTGTGATCCCCAGCAATCTGAGCCTGCTGCCAGCTCCCTGTTGTAATCAGCTGGCCAACACATGCCTGGCTGAGAGAGATAGGGACCAGAAAGTATTCCTACAGAATCAATATCATCCCCACTTCCCCATCCTGTGGTTGAGGTCCTACACTGTCTCCGGGGCCACCTCTCCAACTTCAAGTCTGTGTGTATTAAGTGCCATCGAGTTGGTTCTGACTCATAGCGACCCTGTATAGGGTTTCTGAGGACTGGCTGGTGGGTTTGACCTCCAATCTTGTTGTTAGCAAGCAGTCCAGAGCGTATCCTACATCATCACACAGAGACTTGGTCAATATACTTGGATCTTCTGGTCAGCTTCCACCACCTCCTTAAGCCTCCCTTCTGCCCAATTCCAGGACCTATGCTAACCTGAGAGGTCTTAGGTAGGTCCTGGTTCTAGGGACCTGTCTGGGCTGTTGCCCTTCATGTCTTCAGTTACTGCTTAGTGCATGCTCCTGGGATATGAAAGTGGGTATGATACCCTGGCTGGACCCATGGGATACATCGCCACTCCCGGCAGTCTCTCACCATGGGTGCAGAGGGGGTAGCTGAATGCCAGACGGCAGTCCAGACAGGACAGCTTCCCTGAAGTTTTAGTCTGAGTACATTTTGAAGGTAAGAAAACGGAGAAAAGGCCATTCCAGACAAGAGGACAGCCAGTGTTGGGGTCTCTAAGGCAGAGGCATTGGACCACATCTAGGGAGGCACAAGACAATGAGGTACAGGTGTATGTGTAGCACCCAGGGCAGGCAGTGAGGCCCAGACAGGTCTTTCTGAGCCCCAAACACCCTCCCCAGCACTGCCCTGTTTGGGCCTTCACGATACGGAGTGGTATGGCCTTGCTCACACTGGGGTCAAGAGGAGAGTTCGTTGGAAGTGAGAGTCTGAGAGAGGAATAAAGGTTGGTCCTACTAACCCAAAAGGAGTGCAGTGCTATTACAGGATAAGCTCTGGACTGTAAACGCTAAGGGTGGTGGTTTAAGCCCACCAGTTGCGCTCTCCATGGGAGAAACACGAGGCTTTTTGCTTTCGCAAAGATTTACAGCTCTGAATCCCTATACAGGGTACCTGAACCAGATTTGACTCAATGGCACTTAAAAACAACAAACTGGTCCCAGCCTTACCCCACTGCAGGAATCCACAACCCAGAACCCTCCCCCCAAAAAACTGCATAAATATGCAGATTTCGCACCAGAATCATAACTTCCAGGGGCAAAGCTCAGGAACCCACATTTTAATTGGCTGGTTGGAGATCTAAACTCCACAACCATCAGGTCCAGTACAGAGGGCTCAAGCCCTATCCCTGGGTCTAGCCACAGCCCCACAAACATCATTAGTGGGGAAGGCGCCTCGGACATTGGAATCCAGCCTGCAGGCAAAGACAGGGCCCAAGGACCTCTTCCGGAAAGTCTCTGCGTTGGGTTGCTGTCGGGCCGTGGCGCCCCCTTGCGGTCACTGGAGTCAGTGGCAAGGGGTTCAGGGGTCCACAGCTTGGAGTGGAGACTCCGTAAACCCTTCTGAATGTGACCAGTGTAACCCCGTCCACCTGAGATTGGGGCAAGTGTCTTCGGTGCGATGGTGAAGGTCGCCTATCACAGATCAACTGTCGAAAACCAGCGCCACGCACGCTAGGGCCCATCACCCAAACATGACCGCCCCACCCACCTCAAGCACGCAATGCTCGCGCGTGCCCAAACCTGCGTAGCGCAGCGTGCGCAGGCGCTGAAGGACCCTGCAGTAGCCATTGCTCACCCCGCTGCCAAGTGGAGCCAGCGGTTACTGGAAGTCTGCGGGCTCTGAAAGAAGGTGAGTCTGACTCCTTGATGACAGCGGCCTGGGATGGGACAGCAGTAGCATCCCCCGGGGGGGGGGGGGCGGGGGTGACCCTCTTTGGGCTGGCTGACTGGACTAAAGGACTACAAAACCCAGAGTACATTGCGCCTCAGTATTGGGCGCTACCATTTTTCTGCTGGAGGAGGGCACCTATTGGTGAGGCCTAAAGATGCATCCTGGTAGTTCTGCTACCGTAGTGGTTACGACTACCTGTCGGAGGTCATCGTGTAATTACGGGGGTCAGGTTCCAATGAACCTTCGCAAACCTTCCTATTTGACTAAATTAAACTGATGATCCATTTAGCTATAACTGTACATATCCAAGGAGCTCTGGTAGCATAGTAGTTACGAATAGGGCTGCTAACCTCAGGGTCAGTAGTTCGAAACTACCAGCTGTTCCACGAAAGAAAGGTGAGGCTTTCTGCGCCCGTAAAGATTTACAGCATCGGAAACCCTGTACAGGGTCGCTATGAGTCGGAACCGACTCCACGGCACATAACAACAACAATAACATACATATCCAGAGTCCTGGTGTGGCGCTGTGAGCTAATGTGTCAGACTGCAAAGTCGGTGGTTCAAGCTCACCAGCTGTTGCTTGGAAACCCTACACAGGTTCTCTATGAGTCGGAATCGACTCGACGGCACTTAACAACAAATAGATATCTGCCCTGGTGGTACATTGGTTAAGAGCTCTGCTACTAGCCTGAAGCTTGCGGTTTGAACCCACCTGTGGCTTTGGGAGAAACATGTAACAATTTGCTCCTGTAAAGAATACATCCTTGGGAACGCTGTGGGGCAGTTCTACTCTCTTCTGTAGAGTTACTATAAGTCGCAATTGACTGCATGGCAACGGGTTTTTAGTATGGATATCTGTTTACTGGAGTCATGGTGTGGCTCTGCGAGATAATGCACTGGACTGCCAGGTCGGTGGTTCAAACTCACCAGCCGTTCCTGGAAAACCCTATTCAGGGTCACTATGAGTCAGAACCGACTTGATAGCAATTAACAACAACACTGGTGTGGCGTTGGTGGGTTAATGCGCCAGACTGCAAAGCCTTTTGAACGGTGAGGTCGGCAGTTTAAGCTCACCAGTCACTCCTCAGAAACCCTATACAGGGTCGCTACTGGTCGGAACCGACTTGACAGCACTTAACAACAAACCACCTTTTAGGCCTTGCCCCCTTCCCCACCCATTCTTGAGCCAGCAAGACACTATTATTATTGTTATTATTTAATCTTTATTTTTAAGTAATTTCAAACTTATAAAAAATTATAAGAATTTTCTTACATAGAATTTTTGTATACAAAATGTAGAACCAGTTGTTTACATTTTGTCCCATTTGTTTTATTCTTTTTCTTTTCTGCCTTTTTTTTTCCTTCCTGGACTATTTGAGAGTTAGTTGCAGATATAAGACTCTTTATCCTTAAGTATAGGAGTCACTTGGTGGCTCAACTGGTTAAGACTCAACTATTAGCCAAAAGGTTGGTGGTTTGAGCCAATCCAGTTCTCCTCAACACACCTTGAGTTGGAATCAACTCCACAGCAACTAACAATCCACCCACTGCCATTGAGTCACTTCTGATTCATATCAACTCTGTAGAACAGAGTAGAACTGCTTCATAGGGTTTCCAAGACTAAGTCTTTACAGGAACAGATAGCCTCATCATTCTCTCAAGGAGCGGCTGGTGTGTTTGAACTACCAACCATGTGGTCAGCAGCCCAATGCATAACCCACAGTGCCACCAGGGCGCCTTTAACAAATCCTTAAATGCTCCAGTGTGCATAACACTAACCTATTTCTAACCTACAGTCCACTTTCAAATTTTCCCAGTTGTTCTAACTGGGGAAAAAATTCCCTTTTTTCATTGAAACAACCTCTTTCTTGGTCCAGGAGCCAATCCATGAACACACAGTTCAGTGGTAGCGCTCCCTCAATCTGTGGCAGTTCATCAGTTTCTCTTCACTCCCATGCTTTTAATGTTTTTGAAGATCCCTGGTAACTTGTTGTATAGCAATAGGATTGGAGTGATCGTAGTTTCTTCACCATGAGACTTGGCTATTTGGAAGAACTTCAAAAGTGATGTTGACCAGATGCAATTATTCAGAGTCTGAGTGTGCCTTGGACAGGTAAACAGGTAACACTCAGATCCTGCGAGGCCAGACCCTTTCTGTGCGCACCCTTAGGTGGGGTTTCACTTTTTCCTCATTGAGGTCTCTGACTTCCCTGTAGCACCTGCCTCGGAGCCATGGTCCACGCCTTCCTCATCCACAGTCTGCGCGCCCCGCATGTCGAGGATGTGGGCTTCTGCCGAGTGCTCTACTCCTGCGTCTTTGGTGCTGAGAAGTCACTTGATGACCCAAGGCCACACAGTGCTGAGAGAGACAGACTCCTCCGCAAGGAGCAGATTTTGGCCGTGGCCAGGTAACCACTCAGCCCCAGGTTCTCATCCAACACACACTCAATTGTGGTACTTTTCTGAGCAGCACAGAAAAATGAAGAACAACAAAGCAGAGACAGTGTTTTAGAATTTGTTGTTGTTAGTTGCCATCGAGTTGGTACCGACTCATAGCAACCCTATGTACAACAGAATGAAACAGTGCCCCGTCCTGGGCCAACCTCACAATCGTTGGTGTGTTTGAGCCCATTACTGCTGCCACTGTGCCAATCCATCTTGTTGGGCGTCTTCCTCTTTATCTCTGACCCTTCACTCTGCCAAATATGATATCCTTCTCCAGGGACTGGTCCCTCCTGATAATATGTCCGAAGTATATATCCTGGCTTCCAAGGAGCACTCTGGCCGTACTTCTTGCAACACAGATTGATTTGTTCTTTTGTCAGTCCATGGCACTTTCAATATTCTTCTCCAACACCATAACTCAAATGCATCAATTCTTCTATGGTCTTCTTATTCACTGTCCAGTTTTTGCATGCATATGAAGTTATTGAAAATACCATGGCTTGGGTCAGGCGTACCTTAGTCCTCAGCTGACATCTTTGCTCTTCAACACTTTAAAGAGGTCTTGTGCAGCAGATTTGTCCAGTGCAATACATGGTTTGATTTCTTGACTGCTGCTTCCATGACTGCTGATGGTTAATTCAAGCAAATTAAGTCTTAGACAGCTTCAGTCTTTTCTCCATTTATGTGAATATTATTTAATTGGTCCAGTGGTGAGGATTTTTGTCTTCTTTATATTGAGATGCAACCCATACCGAAGGCTGTTGTCTTTGATCTTCATCAGTAAGTATTTCAAGTCCTCTTAGCTTTCAGCAAGCAAGGTGTTTTTAGAATAGCATATTCCAAAGGGCCTCCCATAGCTGTTCATAAGTAACACATGAAAAAGGGTTAAATAAAGAGTAATGATGTCATCATTACTATAATTAGCCTTTATTTAGCCCCTAGTTAGTACTGAGGAGTACAAACAGTTAACAAACTCAACTGCTCACTCAAAAGTTGGAGGTTTGAGTCCACCAAGAGATGCCGCAGAAGAAAGTCTTAGCAATCTACTTCTGAAAAATCAATCATTGAAAACCTGATATGAGTACAGTTCCTTTCTGATACACATGGTGTCATCAGTCAATCCAAGTCAACTCAATAGCAGCTGGAAAAAATGAAATTATGTGTTGAGCCCTTTTCTGGGCAGTTCATGTACCTTCATTTTTTTTTTTAAAGCTTTTATTGTGCTTTCTGCTCCCATAAAGATTTACAGCCTTGGAAACCCTGTACAGGGTTACTATGAGTCAGAAGCGACTCCACGGCACACACCACCACCACCAACATTGTGTATTGAATGAGTGAAGGCTTACAGGGCAGATCATCAGTTTTATATTCAGGAAATCATTGTAATGATTACAATCCCCCCCCATGTACCCTTCTTAGCCTTTAATATTTATCTGTATTACCTTTTATTTTTTTTTTGATGTACACATACAACATTGAAAGTACATATTTGTTTAAATGTCCAAAGGGTACATTTTGCAAGCCAGCCTCCTGCCCATAGGCACACTGCCTTTTCTCAGTCCATGGGCTTGTAGTCCTCTGCTGCTCTGTCTCTCTATGCCATCACCTCTGCCACCATCTCTGTTGTTCCACTTTTCTGCTTAGAATCCCTCACTCTTAGCATGTTCTTCCTCTGTTCCTGAAACGACACATTAACTGTTCCCCCTTTTTAGTTTACATCTCTTCTACATTTACAGTTGTGATAATTGCCATTAGTCCTGATAACAATTACTCACAATTGAATCATAAAATCCTATCTCCCTTCAATAGTGAGTAATTGTTACCATGACTAATTGCAACTGTCATAACTGTAAAGGTAGAATTTCTGTAACAAAAAGGGGGAGTAGTTAATCTTATAGTTCAGAGCAGAGGAAACTAGGACCATCAAGGGAGAAGAGTACAAATGAAATGTGGGACCTTATCCAGAGAAGCAGCAACACCAGAGATGGAGGCAGAGATTGGGACATGAAGAAATAGAGCAGCTGAGGACTGTAGATTCATGGAAAGAGAGGGACAGTGCTGGCAGCCAGGAGACAGGCTTGTAGAATGTGCCGTTTGGTTGTTTAAATTATTATATATTCCTGAGTGTTTTTGTGTACATCCCCCCAAACACACACACAAATCAAACTTATCAAAATTATCTAAGAAGAATCTGTCATTTGAGTGCCCTTACTTTTTTTAAAAAACAATTTAACTTCAAGGCAGATCGTAGCAAATCAAATCTTAGTCTGCATATTCTTGTCTTTATGCAATATAAAACAAAAGTAACAAACAAACAAACAAAAAAAAACAAAAAATCCTATCCCCCTTATCAGACCCATCTGGACAAGAGAAAAACTATTCAGTAGGGCTTCTGTCTTAACTCCCCTTGCTCTGACACTAAACACCATAATGGAAGCTTGTAAGGCAGCCACTTTGGGCCTTTATAGCCCCCTAACTTTGATAGCCAAAGTCTAAATTTCCCATCCCTATCAACCTAGTGTAAGGAGCAAGGTCGGCAGTTCAAAACTACCAGCTGTTCCGTGGGAGAAAGATGAGGCTTTCTGCTCCGGTAAAGATTTGCAGCCTCGGAAACCCTGTGCAAGGTCACTATGAGTTGGAACCAACTCAACGGTACTTAACAACAACAACATTAACCTAGTGTACTGAGAAGACATTCTTGATCTTTGATATGAAGAATCCTTCCCAATTCGGGTGGTATTTGGGGCAGCTTCATCCATAAGCAAAGGTCCAGTTGATCACATTATAGCAATTTATGCTTGCTCCCTGTACCATACTTCTTTATTTTCATCTGGTTGAATTCTGGTCAGCAAGACATCTATCTACACTAGGTCATATGAGTACTGTTTTGCAAGCCTGGGCGTTCTCACATGCCTCCCCCCTCTTCAGACCACCTGGCTGCTTCTTTCTTAACTCTAGTCCCCCAGTGGCTAGGTCAAAGTCCTTGGGCCAGGAGTTCACACACACATCTCCTTGAACTTCAAACCAGCCTGGTCTGTCTTCTCCTCGTTGTCATCTCAAGGTCATTGGGCATCTGTGGAATCTGGCCAATCTCAGCCCATGTTTTCTTTGCTACATTTCCCCTCTTCCACTCCCAAGTTGACCAGGACTGTCACCAGTGAGCATACTGTCCGTGTGTTCCTGTTCCTTGATTGGTTGACTTTTCTTGCCTTGATGGCTCCAGGGCAAACTGCTTGCTTGATATTGTTGCAGCCAAACTGCTCCCCCAAAACCATTTTTCTTTCTTACAAGTATCTTCTGTTCCTCTCACCATTCCAGGTTGGTCTACATGTCTTTTCTATTGAAAATATCCCACTGCTGAAGTTTCCACCTAAGGTCCCATACTCCACCAAGCTTAATAAGAAGCCTGTTTCCATGGGTACATTCCAGTCCCCATTTAGGTAATCCAATCAGTTATAGTCTAAAGACAGGTTTACGAGCTTTCTGTAAACATCTCCAAATTCCTTTCTATCCCACTTAATTATCTATATTTTACTAGTAGGCAGGGGAACCCAATATCCACAAAACAGTCCAGCACCTTAACATTATTTCCCCTCCTTTACCCCTTCAGTCTATGTCTCCATTCCTATAGCATAGAGCCTTACTTTTCCCAGGCTGCATAAACGTCACAATCTACCTCAGGCCCATTTAGCCCACCTATACCTCCCAAATGTACATTCATTCTTAATCTTGTAACAGTCTTTTGAGATTGGTACAATTATCTCCACCTTACTGATGAGTAAACTGAAACAAAGTGTAAAGAACGTCACTTGCCAAAGATCACAGAAAGTGGCAGGCCCTGGTACAGACTAAACATGCTTTGTGATACAGGACTTCTCAGGGCCTTTACTATCCCTGTAGGGTCTGTGAATCTCTGAGGAGAAGGGAGAGTGACCTGCCTGGGGACTCCTTAATCCCAGAGCCTGCAACCCACAGAGCAGTTTGGGGGAGAAACTGTTCCAGGCTGCTATGGCTGGTCTTGGAACCTCTCTGCTACCTGGGCCCCCATGGAGCCAGTAGGTGCCAGAGTTCGTAGCCTCCCCGAGTACTTATATCGTGTGTGTGTGTGTGTGTGTGTGTGTGTGTGTGTGTGTGTGTGTGTAGTGGGGGAGTGGGAAGGGCGGTTAACATTCTAGGGACTGCCCTGTGCCAGCCTCCTGCCATCCCTTGTTTGTCTTGGCCTCCTCCCTGTCTCTAAAGCACAGAAGGCCAAGAAAATGTCTTTGTTATCAGTCTGTTCAAGTGCAAAGATGGAAGACAATTCAGGAAGAATTGGAGAGTGGTTTCAAAATCTTGTTTTCTTTTGAAGAACGTTGTAAGATCCGACAAGGGGGCAGAGGTTTCACACAACCCAGGTTGGATGGTATCTTTTTTTTTTTTTAACCTTTTTTTATTGTGAATTACAGAGCAGATCAGTTTTCCATTCAATAGTTCATACACATTTTGTTTCACGTTGTTGATTGCAATTCCCACACTGTGACATCATTCCTCCTACTTCTGTGCTTCCTGTTTCCATTCCTTCTCCTTTCTGAACTTCATCCTTGGGTAACTGCTGCTCTTTTGATCTCAAATGGTTGATTTTTCTAAGGAGTGTTTACCTTATTGGTATCATTGCTCCATATATAGACCTGCCCTTTGTTTAACTAAAAGATGAGCCAGGGGGTAAGTAGTCCCGAGATCTACCTGTCTCTGACTGTCCAGTAAGCCTGGCCTTTTTTTTTTTTTTTTTTTAATTTATTATTTTGAGTCTTGTTTCGCAGTTTTTCTCCCAGTTTATTCAGTACCTCCTAATGTGGTCCTTTCATGAAAGAGTAGTTGGTAGTGGCACCCAGGCACCATCTTGTTCTTCCGGTCTTAGGGTCATGGAGACTGATGTTCACAAGTCCCATCAGTCCACTGGACTAACTATGTCCATGAATCTTTG